CGAGTATGACGAAATCAGGCTAGCATTTGAGTACAAAAACACAGATAAATAATATTAACGATACCTCATACCTCACAAATACATAAAACACATTAGATGCGTAGCATTCTTCCCACACAAATGATCCTATCACTTGTGGCAACGTGTGATGAAGGGTCACATGCTTCAGGCTGCTATCCCTTCATATTGAAGGTCATTGCAGAACTTTCAAATAGTGCTTTGTGGACCTCGTGCCCTGAAGCACTGAATGACGTGCAGAAATGATGATGGCTCGTCTACTGTAAGAAACATCAAAAGAAGAGTCCACAGGGAAAGAACACACGCAGCGACTTCTTGCTACTGCAAATGAAAGGGGGATGTTTAATCTTTTTATTACGTTGACATAACTCAGATGATGTCTTCTCAGGAGAGTTCCTATCTGAAGCCCAGGAAAGCAGCATTTCTGTGAAATGTAATCATCTTCTTATTATAAGCAGTCTAAAAGGTCTTGCAATATCTAGAAAGATCTGAAAAGTGTATATAGGAGAGGCTGTGATTTGATTGTAATGCTGAGTAAAAACGATGCAATACACAATTTCATTTGTCTTGATGAGTTTCTGCTCTGTTAAGAAAAGCAGCTGCAGGTTAATCATGTTTACCCGACTGTTGAATACTTGAAAGTTGAATTTGAAGTGGAAAAATAATTATTATATATATATATATATATATATATATGAAGAGTTCAGATGCAAAAGCCTCTAAATGCCATTTGAAATTTTCTTCTTTGATGATGATTTTTATCAAACTTGTATATTTAAGTTCAGTAATTTCACTTAAATAACAATTAATAGGTAATTATCATTGCCATTTAAGTGAAATTACTGAACTTAAATATACAAGTTTGATAAAAAATCATCATTAAAGAAGAAAATTTCAAATGGCATTTAGAGGCTTTTGCATCTGAACTCTTCATATATATATATATATATAATTAATAATTATAAATAATTATAATTATTAATATTATTATTTTTCAAGGTATTCTTGTCTTCAACTTGTTTTTCCACTTCAAATTGTTTTCCTCTGGCACCATTTTTATCATAAAAGGCTCCTTTTTCTTAACATGTCATATCCAAAATGAAAAAAAAAGATTATTCAATTCATTTCATGGCCATATTTCATGGCAAGAGTCTGAATCCCTTAATGGGGTAACCAAGAGCAACCTTTCTATACAATATAAAGCCCTGGTGTTGTTCATGAGTAATAATACATGTTTATCATATCATGTTCTAGCAAAATCATATTCATGCTCTGAACATATAATTGGTCGAGCTCTGACCCCATTAGGATTTAAACCAAGGACTTTATTTAAAAACCCAAAAAAAAAACTATCTTGCCTAAATATCACAAAAGCATTTGATTTAAAAACCCAAAATAATGTTTTTTTACACACATCATGGTTTGAGTTTTGTAGGACGCTCTAGTTTATCAACAATAAGGAGGAGCTTTTGGGGGTTTTGTCTCACGCTGTTGCTAGACTAAATAAATATTGAATGGCCAGCCAATGAATCAGAGAGTGTGTCTAGGGAAAGTTTGCTTGATGAACGATTTTTATCATCCAGAACACCACCTCCACATCGCCCTAACCCAAATAACTCGTGGATAGAGTGGAGACTGCAAGCCAGGTCTTTAATCATTAATGCAAAAGACATGGAACAGTAAAAATGGTCACAAGAATGAACTTTATTCTCATATTTTAATTATACATGCATTCAAATACGTGAAAATAAGAGATTATACAGCATAACACAGATGCACAGAGCATTTATCACAGTGAGGAGCTCAAATCTAAATTACTAGTTGTATCACTGTTTCACACAATACAATGAAAAAACTTTCTTTATATACATAGTGGGTGGCACTTTGGATGATTGGAATTAATGACTCTTGTCTGTGTAAATAATTGTCTGTGTGTGTGAAACCACTCCAGAACAAATTATTTTGTGAGTGCATGGGATTCAAGTTGTTTTCTGTTGAAACAGTGAAGGGTTAGAGCCAGCAAACCTGAGCACCTGAGAGGACAGATCAGAGATCATTTTGACAACACAAAACACATTGAAGGCACATATTACCATCATGAGCACATGTATGGAGGGTTGGCATTGCGCTTGAGTGACTGGACGGTGATTCGAACTGAAATGAACTGAACCACTTTAAACAAAATTGACAAAAAAAAAACATCTGACTAACTGAACATATTTGGACAGTCTGAGCAATTACCTACATACACTTTTAAATTCTGGCCATAAGTCAGATTAAGTTCATAAATTCAGTTGAATTTCATTATAAGTCAATACAAGACAAGAATCAACGAGCCTACTACACACTGTAAACAAACAATATTGATGGTTTAACTTTAAAAAGTAAGCAACCTGGTTGCCTTAAAATTTTAAGTTGATTGAACTGGAAAAAGTGAGTTAATACAATGAAGGAGGTTAATTTAATCATCAGAAACTCAAAATAATAAGTTATCTCAACTAAATAAATTATTATAAAGTTGATTTGACAAAAGAAAATATGTTGTGATAACAAATTTAGAAAATCTTTTTTACACTGGAAATTATAATGTAAACATTTCATAGAATTTACATAGCATGAACAGATTTATATTTTGATGTATAAATGCCGTCGGATAAGTGTTTTATACACAGGGTTATAGTTATCACAAGGACTATATCTTTTAAGGTTTTGAGTCAAAATACCCATAATCTAATTTAAAACCCTTTTAAATAGATAATATTTTTTATCCAAACTAAAATGATGAGTAACAAATGTAGTTGACACTTTCAGAATTATTCTGCTGTTTTGCAAAAAATTTTAATGTTTTATTATCAATGTAGCACTTTATTATAAAAAATCCACCCCATGGGAAATATTAACTTAAGGAAAAAACAACAAAACACTTGCTTTTACCCTATAATTTCAAACAGATTCATTTATGCAGTGACTGCAAGCAGTAAGCAGCATGATGACAAACATCGATTCTCACCCTGAAATTGTATAGCAAATACAATAAATAAATAAAAAAGCCATAGAATTTAATTTCATAACATTTAAAGGGACTGTGGTAAATACTTTAAATGAGAATAACTGCAGACCCCCAAATTCAAGTGCATGTTTGTGCTTACAATAATATGTAAATTGCCAACATATCCACAAATGCTTGTAATTGTTAGGACATGTCAGAAATGTTTAGAAGTTGCAATACTTATTTTAATAAGGTAAAACCTATTTAATATAGTTAATATACAGTATAAATAATGATATATTTTTGATTTTGTTTTTGCAGCTATAGATTTATATATGTTGGCGTAAGATTATGCTTATTATGAATATGTTTATAATGTGTTATGTTTTTGTTTTTTTTACAGTGGGTCATAATATATCATATCTTTAAGTTTGTCAGTGCGTTTTGTGGTGTTAGGAATTTTTCTGCACATTTCCGCACTAACTCAAAACGTGCATACACCACCTGTAGGATTTGAGCGTGCCGTACGCCAACGTCCATATTGATAAATCTCAAAGTCACCATGGTTTTGTACCATGAAATTTGGTGTATGCACTTCCGATAAATGAGGGCCAATATGTTACAGGCATATGTGAAGAATTTCTATTCAATAACTATATTAGAAAATTCCTGATGCCTTTAAAAACGAACAAAAAAATGTGTTAGTGACATGAGACCAGAAATGTTGTCATCCTCTTTGTTATGTTGTTCGTAAAATGTCCAATCTATTTTTTTTCACAGTCAGTCTGTCTGGTTCCATTCTTTTATTTGATGTACTTCATGTTATGTATTAATGTGTGTATAAATTGTTTCATGTTTTTAAAAGTTGTAGTCTGCTGCAGCAGTTTTGTCACTGAATTTCATCTTAAGAATCAATAGCAACCGCAGAGCACATGCAACAATGTAAACTGCATGCAATATTACATTACCTATACAACATTATTGTCTAGACTAACACAGCGCTGCTGTAACATAGTCTCATCAAGAAGTCATATAACTGACGTCTTTTGACCATACGTCAACATCCGCCTTTTTAGGGTACCCTTAAACGTCGGTTACATGACGACGGGGTAGGTTTAAGGGGGTTTTTTATTTTATTTTTTTTATTGAGAAATAAATCCAAGTACAAAATACGGTATATAACAGGAATGCTTCACATGACAGATATCACATATATTGAAACATGTTTAAACAAATAACAGGGATAACAAAAATAAAGGAGAAGAAGAAGAAAAAAATACAAATAAAAACTAAAATAAATATACATTAAAAAGCTCAATATTTCTTTCTTTTCCTATAGACACTTTTAATGTTCATATAATTTGGTAAACTAAGTGGGGGCATTAATTACAATATGAAGAATTCCTCCATAAAGTTTAACAACATTTCATTCTTTTTATTTGTAACTAATTTAAGTGACTTCCTCAGCGATTCAATCTCTATTAAAAATAGATTACATTTTGAAATGCATTTTTGTTTATGGATATAATATTTACCATGCAAAATGAAGAAATTCACCACATATTCACACAATTTGCTTCTGTGTGTATATATAAGAACAAATAACATCTTTTAGGGGTAGGTTTAGCTCTGGGGTAGGGTTAGGATCCGATAACGTCATCTAACCGACGTTACCCTAAAAGGGCGGATGTTGACGTATGGTCAAAAGACGTCAGTTATATGACATTTTGGGGTGAGACTGCACAGGCTTTGTTTTGCATTGTTAATTTGACAAATGATTGCACTTGTTTTTCCCACAGGCTTTGATCAAGAGCTCCAGATTTTTATTAAATCATATTGTTCAACGAGGATCATACACTGTAAAAAAAAAAAATGTTGGTTTAAAAATAAGTAACCTGGTTGCCTTAAAATTTTAAGTTCATTGAAATTGAGTTAATTTAACCACCAGAAATTCAAAATATTATGTTATCTGAACTAAATTAATCACCTAAATTGATTTGACAAAAGAAAAAATGTTGTGATTACAAATCATGAAAATATTTTTTTTTACAGTGTATTGTTCCATAGAACCTCCTTAAGGCCTCCTTAAATCTCCAACAATATTACAACATCTATATCAAACATTTTCTCATTAAAAATTCTATTTTGCATCATTGTGCCCTGAAGAGTTAATTAATACTCCAGCTGATTTCAAGTGTTTGCATTCTAGAGTATGAGTAAGTACATGGTACACATCATCACAAAATGGTATTATTCATCTAGATCAACAGGGGGTTGGCACATTCAGCTCTCAGACTTTACGTGAAATATATTTTTTTGGTTTGACGCTACCTTGACATACCAAAAATGTTCCTCAGGCTATAGCAGCAGATGATTTCCTTAAGCGTTTTCCGCATTTCCTGACTCCTGAAAGCGTAAATGAGCGGGTCGATGACAGAGTTGCACATGATAAGAATGAGGTACATGTTGAAATGAGACATGAAGCACATGCAGTAGAGGTTTCTGGGGCAGGAGATCATAAGGATGAGGTGGAGAAAGAACGGAGCCCAGCAGACGATGAAGATCCCGAGAAGAATGGTCAGCGTGACGGCCGCCTTCATGCTGGCTCTCTGGTGGATGGAGTTGTAGCCCGGCAAGGCGGCGATGCGTTTGACGTGAGAACGCGCCAGCATGAACATGTGGCTGTAAAGAGAGGCCATGAGTGCTAGCATGATGAAGAACATGGACACCAAGCACACGATGACGGACGTGTTGTCGGAGTAGATTATGAAGACTATTCCGCAGCCGGTGCAGAAGGTCCAAATCCCCCCGATGATGAGTGCGGCCCGGCGAACCGTCATGATGTTGTGGTATCGTAGAGCGTAGAAAATCGTGACGTAGCGATCGACGGCAATAGCTAGAAGACTACACATGGACGCCACCACAGAGATGCAGATCATAGAGTCGAAAACGTTGTCCATCTGTCTGATGAAATGGTCCTCCACCACCAGCTGGCGGTTAGTGAGCAAGTAGATGACTATGGTCTCCCAGGCGTTGGAGACGCTCACCAGCATGTCGGCGACGGCCAGGCTGCAGACGAAGAAATACATGGGCGAGTGCAGGTTTTTGTTTTTCACGATGGCGCAGATGACCAGGATGTTTTCCAGTAGGCTGACAATGCCGAGGATGAGGAACACCTCAGTGGCAATGTTGAGCTGCTCGCATGCTTTTGGCTTGGCATGGGATGAGGTCTCGGTAACATTGAGGATGTGCGAAACGGGACTGGAGTTGACAGGGATGGCCCAGAGGGAAAGAGGGGTGGTCTCTGAAGTGTTCATCTTGAGGAATTGAATGGGATTGTTGTGGACTTTTCTTGGAGTCACTGTGATTGTGTGTTGGGCATCTTTAACCTGCACAAAATGAAACAAATCATGTTTAACTCTTGAAATAAAGATTATTTAATGGTTCCTTGAAGAACCTGGCTTCATTCTGTCTGGCCAGGTACATAATTCTGAAGTCATAATTCATAATTCTGAAAAAAATATTGATGGTTTAATTAAAAAAAGTAAGTAACCTGGTTGCCTTAAAATTTTAAGTTCATTGAACTTGAAAAAGTGAGTTAATACAATGAAGGAGATTAATTTAATCGTCACAAACTCAAAATGATATGTTATCTGAACTAAATAAATTATTTAAGTTGATTTGACAAAAGAAAAAATGTTGTGATTACTACACTGTAAAAAAATATTGTTGGTTTAACTTAAAAAAGTAAGTAACCTGGTTGCCTTAAAAATTTTAAGTTGATTGAACTGGAAAAAGTGAGTTAATACAATGAAGGAGATTAATTTAATCATCAGAAACTCAAAATATTAAGTTATCTCAACTAAATAAATTATTATAAAGTTGATTTGACAAAAGAAAATATGTTGTGATAACAAATCTTGAAAATATTTTTTACAGTGTACCGACCCATAACCTCAACTGACAACCAACAGGAACCAAACCTTTTTTAATGCCTTGTGAATAATATAAAAATAAAAAATATACTTTGGGCTTAACAAAGTATGAAAGCGAGGAAACCTAAATAAGACATTAAAACATGTTTCATTTTATTTAAAACACGACAATGCCAATGCCAATATATATATATTAGGGATGCACCGATATGAAAATTTTAGCCGATACCTATAATTCTTTATATTGTAAAGCCGATAACCGATATATCGGCCGATAAACTTAAATCCAAATTTTTATCTAATTTTGAGAGCCTGATTACAAATACAAAAGTCTCACAATTAAATCCATGTCCCAAGAGCACAATTATAATGATGTTATAGCCGATATGACAGATTTGCGCTGCACATGTTGGACCGAACCGTATTTTCATTTTTTGAAGAGGTTGCAATCATATTTCAAGAAAATCAAAAACATAAACAGTGCTCAACAAGTGTCTCAGCTGAAGGGAATAATACATTATTTATCGGCTTTAATATATCGGCCACATTTTCTTAACAGGCCGATAACGATAACATTAAAAACGAACATATATCGGCCGATACCGATATGCTGGCCGATATATATATCGTGCATCCCTAAAATATCGAAAAGGATGAACAGCCTATAAAAACAATAGTACATTCATTCATAATTCTGTTTACACTAAACACCATAAGTCATGGCTTTTTTTCAATTATAACTCTGAAAATTCCAAGTGCTAATTTTAATATGCAAAACTGTTACCTAATCATAGCAGTGGGCCTTTCGAGTGTTCGAAAGAGAGGATCAAAAACAGGATAGAATATAGCTTGTTATTGCTTATTTTTATTTACAAATCTTACAAAAATTATAAAAAAGTGTGACCCTTTAAATATGTTACAGTTTAGCAGTAAATAAACAGAGCTTTTTCTTATCTTATCCTAAGCGGTGAGAGGGGTTTATTTAAATCCTTACATTTAAGAATAATTTATAAAAGTACTGAAGCTTACCTTAACAAATGTCACTAAAGAGCATAGAGATGACAAAGAATATGGATCCATTCAGGATGAAAAACAAAAAAGCATGCATGCGTCTCGTAACAGAAGCTATTGACTAAATCTGGCATTTTAAATAACCAGACCTTTCAAAACCAGACCCAGAGGTTACCTAATTGTGGTTATGAATTATTGCCTTGCACTAATTCATCATCTCTCGCTTTATTCTCTGAGATAACGCTTTGAAAGGTAGAAAAAAACATGATCATGCTCCAAGGTCTTCACGCTATACTGTACGGCATGAAATCTAATAGACACATCCTCAAAAGCATATGATCATCCGTTTCATGACGGATGGCCAGTGGGGTTTTGAAACAAGCCCATTGTTCATGCAAGTCAGTGAATTACTTTTACTGTAAAAGAGAATATTAATTGTGCCTACTGGTGATCATCAGTCATGTGTCTGGATGAAGGGTCTTCTATCTCAATGTGAGCGTCAGAAGGCTTTCGCACAAATAGCGTGTCATCTAGGGCTACTATCTGCTGATAACTGTACGGTAAATGAGTCATTGCCTGCACAGACTAAACACAGAGCTTTAGAAAACATGAAAGTAACAACTACAGTTTTAAAACTTAATCAAATGATTGTAATGATGGGTTGTGAGTGGGAGAGCAGAAAATAATGTGTTCAGGGTTGGACACCGAAATACTAAAATGTGTGTGTGAGTGCAATCACGAGTAATGTCTCAAATTATGTGGCTTGTGCCCTCACCTCAATGAGGTGAAAATAGGCACAAATCACATAGCTGATTGATTGACATTGACAGAAATGGGACACACATCTTTTATGAGTGATAAGCAACCACCCAGGAGTGAGTTTTTCCCGAGAGCATCTTCGGTTGCAAGTTCAGTCGTTATCAGCATAGTTCATCAAGTCGGTGTTTCCCGAAAGCATCGCAAAGTTGTATGGTTGGAACGGCAGCTCTCGACCTGTTGGAGGCAGTTTCTAGAGTTTCTAGAAATGCGTATCTTGAGCAAAATAAGCAAGCTGACATTCAGTTCAACCTGTGTCTTTTATTTAAAATACATACAAATGTCATTTGCATCTTAAATAAAGCACCGTTTTTGAAGACTGCGCATGTGCGAACGTGCTTTATGTAGGATCGAGCCAATGATTGAATCTGGAAATAAAGCTAAAAAAACCTGAGGAAGATGAGAAATTAGAAATAGTCCTGTAACATATATCAAAATATCTAATTTATTTTATCTCAAACGTTTTCATTAAAATAAGTTATTATTACTCCACCACATTATTGTCGTCATAAATCACCGTGGTTGAACGACCACTTTACGACAAAACGGTTTCGGAAAACAGAGTTGATTTCTTAAACAATGTTGATTTCTTGGGATAAGCTCAGATAGAGGGAATATAATTTTAAAAACTAATCATGAAACATGATCGTGAATCACATACAAATTATAAAATTACCCGACCCGTAAGAGAATAAGTTGCCAATGAATGCAACAAACAATTGCACTATCAAAAGTCAAATTATAATTAAATATTAATATGTCATTTGTCCTAAAATACATAGATTGTCAGGATAATCTTTAAGGGGATTCATTTATGATTGAAAGCAACCTCACAAAATTATCCTTCTTTATAGACTTTCAAGGGAAGCTTTTCCTCTGGCCACGAGGATTAACTTTCCTGTTCTATAATACCTTTTAATGCGCCATAGCGAAATGTAATGTAAATTAACAAATGGGGGACAAAGATTGGAGTTTATAGAGAGTAAACATGCTACACATATCATTTTGGGTTAATAATATATGCAAGTCATGTCTCAAACCCAAAATAGTTTAGAAGAGACAATGAATACATAGGCTAAACCACATAAAAGGAAAATTAGACATAAGTCAATGCATTTATTTACCATCAGAATCAAGTATTAAACAGAGTCATGTAATAAATAGTATCGGACTGCTTTTATCAGACTGTGATATTGCTCATTTATTTATTTATGTCCCTATAAATACTAATCAAAAATCTTACATACAAATACTAAATAATAATGTAAATCAAAAAAAAAATATTATACACTTAAATATAATAATAATAAATGTAGCTGTTTATTTTAAATGTGAGTTTAAATATTTCATCTAATATAATAAGACATATTTTTTTCAACATGAAAATGTTGGAATGGTTCGCCTTAAGCACAAGTGAATGTGTGAGAATGATTTTAGCTTGATAACATGATCCGTTTCACCTTAAATGAACCTCAATGAACATGGACGTATCATAATGAGAAGCTTTAATAACTGATCTGTGCGTCATTGGTTACAGATGATCATGTTATAAAACAGAAACACAGAGATCTCCTCACATTTAATGCCTCATTCTGATGGTGTGCTGGTGCTAAACACTGAGCTTAAGATCAATGTTTGTTTGTTAGATGAAAGAATATTTCATAATAAATGCATTTACTTTCTGTTGTCTTTTGTTGTTGATAACCATAACGGCAGCTTGCTTTCCTAAAGAGAGCTTCAAAATGTCCTGGTGTGACACTTCATGAATAAAAGATGATGGGAACACCTAGTGCTCTTCCAATCTGATAATGCTGAGACCACATTTCTGAGTGGTTGGATAATGAACCGGTGTCTTGTTTGTTTTCACAATCGCTAACCCTTTCGTTTTTGCTGTTGAATACAGAAAGGGAAAAGCCAGACACGCAGTATAGAACGGATGGATCACACAGACATGTTCTACAGAAAGTCTTATGAACAAGCATGAAAAATGAGGGTATATATTCAAAACACTTTAAGGTGCGTGCATGAGTTGTATCTACAAGGCACACTTGAATTTCAAATAACATGCAAGAGGAATGGACAAATACCTGCATAGTAAAACAGAAACATTTAAGAGACTATTTTCACTAAACTGTTTTCAGATCACCACATGTGTACATATTACCACCTAAAATGTACATATTATCTCATGAAATGAACATATTAGCACCTAAAATGTACATATTATCATCTAAAATGTACATATTATCACCTAAAATGTACATATTATCTCATGAAATGAACATATTAGCACCTAAAATGTACATATTATCATCTAAAATGTACATATTATCACCTAAAATGTACATATTAACACCTAAAGTTGACATATTAGCACCTAAAATGTACATGTTAACACCTAAAATGGACATATTAGCTCATGAAATGGACATTAGCACCTAAAATGTACATATTAGAACCTAAAATGTACATATTAACACTTAAAATGTATATATTAGCACCTAAAATGTACATATTATCACATAAAATGTACATATTAGCATCTCATACATATTAGCAGCTAAAATGGACAAAAGTTTACCTTTTGAAAAGGTACAGCCCCAGTGACAGCTTTTGTACCTTTTTTCTGAAAGTGTATGGTTGATGTTCATGTTTTAGTGATTCTGTGTTCCCCTCATGTGATCTTGTCATGTGGTTCCTTTGGTTCACTGTTTTGATTGCTTTCAGGTGTGTCTTGTGTATATTGCCTTGTTGTTCTCAAAACAATTGATTGTCTGTTTAATAAATTAACATTTATTTACTGAAATAATATATAAATAATAGACGGAAACAAGCAACATTTCCAGCAATGTGCTATAAATTTGCTATTTAGTAACAAATTGAGCATCTCACAATCATAACAATGTCAAGGACACAAATTCTGGCCATTTTTCTTACACAACACTGAGGGAACAGAGAGTCTTTAAATGTTTATCAGTGTTCTGATGCAGTTATCTGTAGACTTTTGTGGGATCTGTGTTCAAACCCCTGGGCTCATTAAAGCAGGGAGTGTCTGAGCCAGGCCTGTGGATTTAAACCCCATGCCAAATAAACAACTTCAGCTATGTGAATGTTTATTGCATTTTCTATTAAATAATCTCAGAGAATCCTCTTGACCTTCAGTCAAGACTTGTGTTCCAGCTGTGGTTTTGTAAGCACCACTGCAGTGGGCACACACACGTAAAGAGACAAGGCATGATGCACACACACCCACGCAGCTCTGACTCAGACACAAACACGCTCTGCAATGCCTAATGCTGGATGTGTCTCAAAACTTATTGATCTGCCTAGTCGCATTTTATTCATCAGAGGTGCTTTCCAAGTCAGTAAATCTCACATTCTAAAAACATATGTATCCACTACACTTATAAAGACAACACAATACAAAAAACACCATATACACAGAAACACACACAGCTGAACTGACTCAGATTGCACCTATAGCCAAAAATGTATTTTAGCACAAAAAAATGCCATTTGCGTCAAGATCTGTTTGAAAAATATAAACCAATTCAGCAGTTCAAATCAGCCCAGAATTCCCAGTGCAGCATTTTGCATGTCATTTTTGTACTGAAATATTTAGTAAAATTATGGTTCCAGCAAGTCACCTTTCACACTCAAATTTTTACAGTAGAGTACTTTCAATGGCATTTTTCATAATTAAAGAACTAAATGGCTATTAAGTTGCATTGTGCAATGTTCGTTCGTAGCTTCTGGGCATAAATTCACTGTAAAAAATAAACCGTAAATTTTACGGTAAAAAACGGCAGCTGTGGTTGCCAGAACTTTATTGTTAAAAATATGGTAGGAACGTTAATGGTTAGACTTAACTTAAAATTTACAGTAATAAACCGTATTTTATTTTCTGATAAAATGTGGATTTACCGACTTATTGACGTATTGATATCTGTTTTAGACCATTGTAATACACTAACAACCAACAATCACAATAGTGATGAGAGTTACATGAGCAATCACAGCTCATCACAAGTGAATACTTAGTATAAAAAATACTTATTTAAAGAAGCTGCACAATGTCATTCACACAAACATTAAGCACCATCATAGTAACACACGTGAAATTAAAAAAATGCAATAAACATTAATTTAACAACATTAAACGTAACATAAAACCCTAATGTACATAACTGATTAGACAAAAAAACAATAAAACTATGAGGAACTATAGTTATTTCAACAAAAAATACATCAAATGTGAAGTGTCACACAGGGAACTGTGGGAATGTCAATTTACGGTTTTCACTGTAAAATTATACAATGATTTGTTCTTTTTCACTTTCAAAAACTGTAAATTTAACAGTATTTTACTGTAAAATTATATCACAGTTATTTACCGGTTATTTTTTAGTGTTTTTTTGTAAAAACAATTATGTAATGTAGGCTATTATTTTACACATCTTACTTACAGTACAGTCAAAACAGTATATGAAGCAACTAACCCTAAACAAAACACCTAAACCTAGATGTTAATTAATACTACTTAATTATATAATAACGCTTTAACAAGGGCACCTTGTACAAAATAAAGTGTATATACCTAAGCCTATATAGGCCTTTTAATACTGAATGATTTTAAACTGAATGTCACATCACTGATTTACTCCCAAACAGAGATTTGAGCTATAATCGATTCAACTCTGTCATTTAAAACAATTCTTTTGTTTAACTCATGCTTTAATCGTCAAAGGGAGAAGCGAGTTCAGCAAGTGAATAACTGATTTCAAACTGAATTTAAATGATTCCAACGCCATGTACAATACAGTTTAGGCTATTGATAAGGTATTTCAACAATTTACATGTTATTTGTGTATTTATCAATATCATTAGCCAAGTCGAGTTAACGAAGAGAGGCGCGCGTGAACTAACTTTGAACGTCAATGGTCATTCAGTGCGGACAATGCAGAAAAGTGATGACGAGAACCATGCAGGCGAGAGTTGCATATATCAATCTCACTGTACTTCAGGCTTGACTTTAGATGGAATAAATAGTAGTAAATAGACTATCCTATTTCCAATTTTACCACTGCAATAGATCCAGCAATTCACTGTCACTGTAATCTGCACATCGGACAGCCTGCTTGAGATAGCTATAATCCACAGGCACGCCGTGACTTAGTGAAGCAACACCCTCAAGTACCTATAGCAACGCGATTCCCACCACTTATATCCCAAAAAACAACAAAGATATATAAAACAGAACATTCCGGTTCATACGCTTTACACAACATCATTAAACAAACAGCAGAATCCAATAAAATGCCAGTTTAGTTCAATTAGGCTATCATATGCTCTATTAGTTGCATGTTGGAGAGTTATCATTTCCGACCATTCAACATTTTCAACAAAGGGTTACGTCTTATGATACAGATAGGAAATAATACTTTGTTTTCAGGGTTTTCCACGTTAAAAGTTACAAATAGTCTTATGACATTGAATGACAGTAAACTGTACGCGCGCGAGTGAATCCTGATGAATGAACAACATGAATGATATTTCAGCACTAGTTGGTGGACAGCGCCGAATTAATGATCGATCTGATCATTGTCATTTATTCAGTAAATGAAAGGATGGGTGAAATAGAGCCAAACCCGCCATGCAAAATTCACATGCATGCTAACTAAACACATTCAGCATCTACCGGAGCACTATCCAAACGAGATGGTGGCGCCGTTATCTTCTGACATTGTAGAAACAACGTATGAGCGAGTAAATCTATATGTTTAGCGCAGTGGAACGAAAGGGGGAAAAAAAAGATAATATTTGTCAGAATAATGTTGCATAAGTTTTGGTGGGACGTAGCGCACCACAGACACATTTAGGCTATAATAGAAATGACCAAGCTGAAGTTTAGCAATTGACTCACTTGTTTGGAGAAGAAGTTGTCTGTGCTGAATCGTATCACCTCTAAGAATCTCAAAGACTATCTGTTTATTTCAGTCCAGAGCCGTTTGTTGGCGCTGGAGGAGGATGCCTGAAGATCTCCATGAAGAACTGAGCTCTGCTGCATCAGATAAATATATAGGATCGGGTAACAGCTCCACCTCCAGAGCTGAAGCTCCCCGTGCTGATATATATATATATATATATATATATATATATTAATTTGGTCCAAACACAGGTCTATATATATTTAATATAGCCCATTAATAAAAATCAGGAATAAATCAATTGAAAATTAATTTTCATACTTTGCATGTGACGTCACAAGCAGGGCCGTTTCAAGATATTTGGGGGCCCTAGACAAAAGAGTAAAGTGAGGTCCCAGTCCTCCCTCAGGAAAAATGTTAAAATTCAGATGGGATTTCTTGTATTCTGGTGCGTTTTAAGAGTCATGAATTACTCCGTAGTAGGCTACGCAAAACAAAGTGGCCACTAGAGTGTAGTAAAGGACAGTGTCTTCAATGAGGCATTGTTGATGGGAGTTTTGATTAAAAATGGGAATATTGATTCAAATTTTGACACAATTTGATTAATGTTTATTTTTTGGTCAACAAGGCTTCGACAAGGATTCGACATTTACTTTACAGGAAAAGAACTTCACTTCCCATAATGCCACAGACAGTAACGTCATACGCAAAACTACCTGTTGCGTACGGTACAAAGTGTTGAGAGATGATCAGAAACATAATCACCAACGGAAATTGATAGCCTGTGTAGCAAAATGTAACGGACTTGATGGATTATTTTGTTTGGACTTAACTGCATGGGAGTCATAGGACCAGCTCATTTTGTTTGGAATTGACAAAGTTTTTACCGGGCCGACAGCCGTCAAGAGTGAGTGACAACACTTTTCTATAGCTTTTGCCTTATACATGGCAAAAAATCTCATGTGATCGTAAATCTGGGCTCGCGGAGCAGAATGGGCTCTATGCACGGCGGTATTTCCGGTGAAGCATTAGGGATGCTCGATAACTTCCGCCGATCATAGAGTCCAATGCAATAGCAAGAATTTATATTGAATTTTATACTCCATGGTTATACTAATGAAACGTTAGTCACAAAAACAGATAAAACAGACACCCCTCGTTGTGAAATGCTTCTTTTTAAAATGATATCAAATAAACATAACTGTATATAAAATTACATCTAAACGTATGTACGTTTCGTTTCAAAGACGGGAGGACAGTAAATATTGAAGACTCTGCCATAATCCCGTTTTCTCCGGTTTTCCTCCGCTTTAATCTAAACAACCGGAAATAGACGAGCATCCTTGCGTCAAATGCGGAACTTATGCGTGCATATAGCCCATAGACTGTAAAAAATATGGACAAAGCGTCTGTGACGTGACGTCACCTATAGACGCTCTGAAGAACGGGTTTGAGGCTGTTTATGGGGGGTATGGGCAGCGCCATACTGGAAAATCTTGGGAAGTACAAAATACAAAGGTTTCAGAAAGGATGGTATGATTGATGTGTTGTGTCAGATCATGGCCGAGACGTCAAATTCACTCGGCGCAGCCCATTATCAGCTGTCAATCAAAGTTAACTGCCCTTAGGCTATTTGTCATATATTTTATATCTGTACGGTCTGTACACTTACAAAGTTCTCAATGCTTTGTTTTGCATGTATGGACCCTCATTATGTTACTGTGTTAGTGCGGGGCTATTTTGAGCCTTGTTAGTGGTGGCCTAAAAACTAGCGATTTCTTTTTTTACTTATTATGTGACCTCATATAGCCTACTAGCGTTATACGCTAAACAGTTTTTAGAGATAAAACTCTTTACATTCGATTATCATGAAAACAAATCTCAGAGAGCTGTTGACTACTGTAAGAACCAATGTGTTATTAGACCAATTGTTAATTTTGCGCCGGAGTTCTCCTTTAACTTTAGACATAACCGACTGTGTTTATGCTGTATATGCCAGTTAAACCCCAATAAGACACAAATGATAATTTGTTCAGAACTCAAAGCACTGCAGGCTTTCACTGTACACAAGCTTCACATGCTCAGAGCAGCATGCAAATTAAATCTTATGCTTAGTTATGTTATGCATTGATTAACGCATACAGACTATAATCCTTTATGACCCTGAATAACTTTAGTGTCACAAGAGCATAACTCTATGGCTGCATTAACATGTGAAGTGAATGAATGTCGTGTTGTAGCCTACAGTATGTTGGGATGGAGGCACTAGAACTGCTGCAAAATATAGAATGTACTATAACGCATTCTTTGTATTATCCACCTAAATGTTAAAATCTCCAACAATCAATGCTTTATCGACTTTAGACAATAGGTCTGAGAGAATAGGAAATCAATAAAGGGCCCTGGAGGAATATACGGTTGCCAAAGCAAGAGATAGTAGGGATTTTATTTCTAATCTGAGTGTAATATTTAGCATAAGCCCTTCAAATGATATAAACCTGTGTCCTATTTTCTGAGTAACATTAAGAATATCTCTATACACTCTCAGAAAAAGCTGTCACTGGGGCTGTACTTTTTCAAAAGGTACACTTTTGTATCCAAAGGCTACATATTGGTACCTTAGTGGTACATAGCACCTAAAATGTACATATTAGCACCTGAAATGTACAGTTTAGCTCATGAAATAGACATATTAGCTCCTAAAATGTACATATTATCACCTAAAATGTGCATAATAACACCTAAAATTGACATATTATCACCTAATGTGCATATTACCACCTAAAATGGACATATTAGCTCATGAAATGGACATATTAGCACCTAAAATGTACATATTAGCACCTAAAATGTTCATATTATCACCTAAAATGTACATATTACCACCTAAAATGTACATATTAACACCTAAAATGGACATATTAGCTCATGAAATGAACATATTAGCACCTAAAATGTACATATTAGCACCTAAAATTGAAATATTATCACATAAAATGTACATATTAGCACCTCAAATCGACAAAAGTGTACCTTTTGAAAAGGTACAGCCCCAGTGACAGCTTTTGTACCTTTTTTTCTGAGAGTGTAGTTGCAACACCGTCGTCACGACCCCTCAGACGGGGCTTGTGTTTAAAACATCAAAACTATTATCTGTGATCATTTAATTTGCAATGCCTTGGGTGTGAGCTAACTAATGTCTAGGAGACCTACACTAGTGATGCTAGCAGGCTGAAGCCAGTAGCGGATGTTCGGAAGGTTTGATACAAATAGCGATATTAAAGCAATCCGATTATGTTCGGTAGCTATAGAATAGTATTTTGGACATGTTCACTCACTAAAAAAGAGAAAATATTAGTTTATAAAATATAAATATAAAATATTCTTCTATTTTATATAGGCTACTATATATTGCTTATTAGTATCATTTATGTTAAACATTTTGATAATTGATCATTTTATCATTTCTCTTACTTTAGACTCAATTTCCATTATGATTTATTGTATTCAATTCATTGTGATTTATTTTTCTCTATTCTGTCAGGACCACTATCTTCAAATACAATTGACAATTAGCATTGGCGGTATGGTTCTGTTCTGGGCGAGAGCAGCAATAACCAGAAAGGATCAACATTAATGTATTGCAGAAATCATCAAGATTTTGTCAAGATTTGAAGAGTTCAGATGCAAAAGCCTCTAAGTGCCATTTGAAATTTTCTTCTAGAATGATCATTTTTATCAAGCTTGTATATTTAAGCTCAGTAATTTCATTTAAATTGCAATGAAGATTACTTATTAATTGTAATTTAAGTGAAATTACTGAACTTAAATATACAAGCGTGATAAAAATGATTATTCTAGAAGAAAATTTCAAATGGCATTTAGAGGCTTTTGCATCTGAACTCTTCATTTGTCAATCAAGATTTTAAAGTACAACATAATTCCAGAATTGATTCTGATTCAAGGATGCCATATGAGTGACAAGAGGAGGAGCTGAGGATGGAGAAGGGTCATTAGCTCCTGAGAAACACGATAAAGCTGCTGATACTGAAGGAGTTTATATGTATACAGTGATAGGCGTTGTATTCTTATAGGTAGAGAGCTTGACTATCGTGACATACCAGAACTGAAGCAAGCCTATTTGAGGTCGTCCAGATTCATCTGATGAGTGACAGCTTAATATCAGGATCAACATGTGAGGAATATGCTTTAACAGAACCCATGACTGTTTTCACAAATGGGAACAAAAGATGCATTGAGAAAGCAATATCAGGGCGATCTCTGTTACCACTGCCTGAACAAATAAATAAAAAAATCCCATATAACTGTTGGAGATCATTACTGATGACGGAGGCTGAAACAAGAGTTGTCTATAGGGATGTTAAATGCATAGCACTAAATGTAAATTGGGTGTCAGCTAATGAGAAGCTTGTGATGGCAGTCACAAGTTTGTTCTTTTTTTAAGATTTAGAGTAGCATGGTTGCATAAATAACTCTTAAGAGTTGTTATTCCTTTGGGGGGAAAAATCCCCAGAATGAGAACTGTGCCTGTCAAGTAATTACAAACATGAAACTTGTTTGGAAGGAACAAATGTTTATGAACATAAAACAGATTTCTCTGCAGCATATGGGCTTTTGGACCCTACACCCTGAAGCACTTAATCAAAGTGAGAAATGTGTTGGAAAAATATTTGACAAAATAACGGCTTGCAAAAACAGTGAATTAAAAAAAAAAGTGTATTGCACTCTTTGTCTGTTTCTTTGTGGAGACCCAAGAAAGCTCTTTAATGTTGTGTCATGGTCATCTGTTTGCCATCAGATTTTTTTCCCCAGCCTAATGACTTAATAATGCCATATGCTGCTACACAGAACATCTTCCCTTCAGAGATGGCTACATTGTATTTTATTATACATCTAAGGCAACATTCATGTCAAAATCATTGTTCAAATCTTTCTCGATATTCTCTGAGAAAGTTATTTTTAGTGTTCCCTCGGGACGACAGACAATTTCTTCCATCAATAACTTCCATTTCCTTTGTATTTGATTAATTACTTCATCTTTAAGCGCATTACAGCATTATAGAAAACTTTATAATGTCTTTAT